GGCGGAGCCAGGGGTTGGCTGAGCCCCCCAGGAAAATTTTAAAACCATGTATTTTATTCGCTAGCCGGGCTCAAAGGTTCCTCAGACGAGGCTGAGCCCCTCCCCAGCTCAAAATCCTGGCTCCGCCACTAATCCACACACACCCGCTCTTATTCACTGTGATATTTGTGGAAAATTGATTAAACAGTGGAATATTGAAAAACATATTGTGAGATAAGTAGTTGATTTCTATATCTATTATTATTTGTTTTATAGAATTGTTATATTGGACAAGAATATATACAAAGACAACGACGACCAAGGTTAATTATTTAATCTTAGTTGAGTTCAAGGTAACTTTATTATTCTTTTAGATCCAACATTTATGAGAGCAATCTTTACACCGATCGATGTCAATATTGTAACAAACGTTATTTAGTGAATTTTCTCAAGATTCATGAAGTTAGATTTCTTCTAAACTTTTATATTTGTATTTTGATTATTTTCTTATATAGAGATACTGTTCAAATTTGCATGTCGTAAGTTAAGTAATTGGATTTTATTCTAATTATTTTTCAATTGATAGAATTATCAAACTGAACAAAATCGTGAACGAATAAAACCACAACCGAGGTTAATTGATTAGTTTTATTTTACTAATATACAACTTTGTTAATCTTTTAGATATGTTTATGATGACAATAGTTATTATAATGTTGGTCGATGTAGATATTGTAACCAACAGAAAACGATGGACATACTTAGCTTTCATGAGGTTACAATTCTTCTAAACTTTTATATTTCTATTTTGATTGCTTGTGTTGTAGAGATATTGTTCAAAATCGCCTATCGTAAGTTAAACGAATGAATTATACTTCTATTGTTTTTTTTCCCATATAATAGAATACTTGTGCTGAGATAGATTACAGATCAAGGTAACAAAAAATAAACTTTCACATCATTTGTCTTACTTGACTAATCTATAAATTTTTGTCATGTTTGCTAGATATGTCAATAAAGACAACAAATATCGAATTGGCAAATGTCGATATTGTAATACATGGCATTCGGCAGATGTACTCAGTACTCATGAGGTCAGTATTGTTCTAAACTTTTCTATACTTATTTTCATTAGTCTTTTATGGAGGATTTATGTCCAAATTCTCTTAATGTAAGTCGAAAAATTATTATTTATTCTTATTATTTTTTTCATTGAATACATTTCCGATATAAATCAGTATCAGCCACAACGATTACGACAATTAGGGTTAACTCGTTAACTTTCTACTACTACAAATCCATTGTCATCCTATTTTAGATACGTCGATGAATACGAGGAAAATCCTATGGGCCGATGTGAATATTGTAATGCACGTATTTCAATGTATTTACTTGACTTTCATAAGGTTGAAATTCTTTTATAATTTCATATTTTTACTCTAACTAGCTTTTGATATAGAGAGTATACCATAACCTTCGTAACGATTATGTTGATAGGTCGTGTACACCTTCATTTCAACGAAGATTCTTATGAAATTGACTTATTCAACAAAATTATATTCGAAAAATCTTCATTCGTAGAACAAAAAACAAAAAAAAAACGCACCAATAAAAAGACTTTTAACTAATAATAAATAAAAGCATTTGTCTACATTAAATTATTATTCATTATTGATTACATTTCTCTCAAAATAATTTTATCTAAACTTTTCAAATATAAGATTTTCATATGATAAATTTCATCATATGAAATGTTTTTTGTAATCTTATAGTTCATATATACTTCAACTCTATCGAAACAAATACGTTTTTCATCTAGAGAATTAAACATGACATTGAATAATCATTGTTGAGAATATCAAAGAGGTTTAACAATACGAAATAAATCTATTTAGTGTCCAAACCTAGGTAAATACAAAATTTATCGAGTCAATAATAAACTAAAAATTCGATCTGTAAATCTGAAAACATGGATAAAAGAAAATCTCTATTATGTCTTTTTTTCCTATAAATCTTATTGATCTTCCTTTCTTTTCTTCTTTGTAATGCTTCCCAATGTGCCAGTAAATAAAAGTATTTCAACAAATTATTTGTATTAATCTAACAAGGGAACATCCCCAGGTATGTCGCGGGAATTTCAATGAAAATGATATAGGATTGTTAAGTGAAGTGTACCTATCACAGATGTGAAACAATTAGGTGCTCTTACGGCCTTAGTAAAAAAATTATAGACAAAACAGTTTTCAAAAATTTGACACATATATTTTGCTATACTGATTTGTGCGTATGAATTTCTTCCTTCAATATTTTTCTTAAAGATTTTATCTTCTATGATGATGGTTAGAGCCGAGTCATATACCGTTTTATAGGTGTCAAACAGTTCTACGTAATGTTCTTTGTTGTTCATTTTGTCATGAATAATTGAAGAGAAAACATAAACTGAATGTCTGATGTATACCTAAAACCTTTTGACAAGGATCGTTTTAAAACCTACATCACTTTTCATATGAATGGAAATAACGCATTACTTGTTCCACAACAAAGAAGTCTTTTTATTAATGTTTATGATCATCTACAAATAAATGTGGAAACCTCGGATTTAAATCCGAGAGTTATGTGTACTTCAAAAAGTGAATGAGATAGATGAGTCATCTTAGAATGTCTGGATCAAAAAATGATCCAGGCAAACCTTGCCTATAAACACTTGATTTCTATTGGCTACTGCTCAACCAATATGATTTTGGGGTGAATACAGCTCAGATTTGAACTCTTCACCTTGATTTGTCCTAAGAAAGTCGTTTTTCCTATAACTTGATTTCTATTGGTTACTGCTCAACCAATGGCGTTTCGAGGCGGATGGAACACAGATTCGAGCTCTCCACCTCAGAAAATCTCGAACTATCATCGCTGTGATCGGAAGATAGAGCTCGAATTGTCGATCACATAGAGCGTGGACAAAAACAGAATCGAATTCTGTTTAATTATCTTTGCGATAGGTAAGTTAGCTTTCTTGTTTCCTTATGTTTTATATACCATTTTGTAGCTCGTGAAATTCTCTATCGAATGGTATATAATAGTTGGAGTTTTATTTGGCTATGATAGGAAAAGTTTTTTACGAAAATAGAGAAGGGTCGATCTTCTTATAGGGAAAAATGACTATTTTTCCAATAACTCAGCAATGGTTCGGCCAATCATTCTCAGCTTCGAGATATTGTTGAGACTAAACTGTGTAGAAAATTTCATCGTGATCGGACTCTCTTTTCAAAACGTATCGTGTAAACGATCGGACACACTGACAGATTCTAGAGTGTACTCACTTTTTAAGTACACAATAATCATATTCATACTTTCAATTTGTGATCAAGTTTTCATCACATTACATAGAAGATAAGATGCCTGTGAGGCAATGCGGAACTCGGATGGGAGAGAAAAATATTTTACATTGAATTTAAATGATAAACAAAAAAAACACAGTTGCATACCTTTTTCTTTTCACATGTAAGTTTAAAAAGTAACATTGTTGTCATATATCTCTCATAGCTGAGCTTGGTTCTCAGTTATCGTAATGGAATTTCCAATGTCACTTTGGTATACAAATATAAATTATTTAAAAGAAAATGTTCAGATCGTAAATAGTAGCTTTGACGTAAACTATGATTTTTCAATTTATTTGTTTAGCAAAAAATAATTTTTACTTCGATATTATTTTCTCATTAAACAATCGTTCTTTTTCGTGAAAACATACTAATAATTCATACTCAACTGAGAAAAAAAAACGATAATTTATTCAGAAAAATTTTTTTCCATTGTGTTTAAAAGCCGATTCTTCCTTTTTAATGTATCTTTTCTTATTATTTTTGTATTGAAATGAAAAATTTCGAAGATCTGACAAAATTTATAGATGAAAAGACTAGAAAGAAACGCTTTCCCAATCATTCGTTGATTGCTTATTTCTTATTTTCTATATCTTAATATAGAAAAACTTTACATCAATACTATTTATTCTTATACTCTTTACACTTTATAAAATGGTAGCATGTAGTGGTTGTACCTATGAGATAGTATGAAACACTCAATAACTATGTATTAATGATTGATTGCTCATTTTTCATTCATTAATAAGAGAAAATTAGCAGTAACATTTTGTTTTGATCTTCATTTTTGATATTCACTCATCATAATATTTGTTATATTTAAACAAAGAAAAAAAAAGCATATATTGCAGATGTTTTTATTCATCGTTATCTGTTATTTTATTAACTGGAACGAATGATAATTAAAACATCAGTGATATGGGTGTGGGTGTGGGTGGGTGTGGGGTGTGGGTGGGTGTGAGGTGTGGGTGTGGGTGGGTGTGGGTGTGGGCGTGGATGTGGGTGGGTGTGGGTGTGGGCGTGGATGTGGGTGGGTGTGGGTGTGGGTGGGTGTCGGTGTTGGTGTGTGGGTGTGCGGTGTGGGGTTTTGGTGTGGGTATCGTCCATGGAAGGTATACACCCACATAAGACATCCACACCCATACCCACACATACCCTACACTCGACACTCACACCCACCCACACCTTTGTCGAAGTTTACTAAGGTATAAATTATATTCCTTACTCATGATATACTGACAGTATGATGGACAAAAGACGACATGTATTGAGCATTATGAAACAAAAGAAAATACATGAAGCTTGTCTTTTAAGAAAGTTTCATTTCAGTAGAACACATCAATAGATAATAATGATATGTTCAAGATCGTGACAAGTTGATTAAAATTACTTCCTATACTTTTTTCCTACATATATTCTTCTTTGTACATCTGTGTTATATAACACAAGTGAAATAGTTTGTTGTTTTTTGTCCCTGGAATGCATAACAGTATCAGAGTGTGAGTGTAGAGAAGAACCACAATCACACCCACACCCTATTCTGGGTCCTCTCATAAATATGGACCTATAACAAAAGTCTTTCATAAAGGTGGTTTTACCATACGAGTTAAAAATGGAAAAGATGCTACATTAATTGAAAATATGAACATGTCGACAAGTCCGATGAATGTTGCTCTTACTAAACAACAACAATCAATATTCACACAATCTGTTCTCAATTCAAATGAATTATTGAATAGTTATAAACGAGAAACACTATCATCTGAATTTGCTGTATCTGAAACTGGTAAGTCTTAATTGTAATTTGAAAAGATTTATTCTTCGAAATTTCCAGAATTCTGTCAAATGATCAAAGAGGATAATCTTCCATCGAACAAAAATCATGTCTAGTAAAACCAACGTCGGATCCTATTGAACATGTATTTCGAAAACACCATTAATAACAAATAATAATTTACCACCAGTAACTATTGAACAATTAGTTGGATTTCGTGGTGATATACTTGATGTTCATAATTGGACAAAAAATAATTTAATTGATTTTTTTCATCAACAAGGGTATAAATATGCATCAACTCTATTAAATAAACATCATATTAATGGAAATAAATTATATGAACTTAAACGAGAACAAGTTTTTTGATATATCAGCATTGAAAATTGGTAAAGCTTTGAAATTATGGAATGTAATTGAACAAATCCAACGAAATCATCTTTCGTCATCTTCTCAATGTTTGAAATAAATTTTCTTTTGTTTTGTGTGTGTATATGTATGTTGCTTGGAAATAAAAACACAAAATGAAGTTTTTCCAAAATCAAAGCTATGCACGTTTGAAAGGAAAGTGATAAAACAAAGCCTTCATTTGTAATGATTAGAGATTAAACTATTTATACGTCTTTTCATATTTCAAAAGAAAATATCTGGATTGTCAATCTCCTAACTTTTCACCGTATCTTAAGGGTGGTGTGGGTGTGGATGAAGTAAAGAACTACATTCACACCCAAGTAAACATACCACGATTTTGTTAAACGCAATGCAAAAACAGCGGTTATCCAAATGACACCACTACTATGAGAATATAACGTGATATCCAATTGAGCTGATGACATACATTAAGTACACTTTGATGTAATTCAATTTGATAGAATATTCTGATGCATGTTCTCTTACTGAAATACTTCCCAACATCAATAAAAGGTGTTTGATTCGTGAAACACTTCTATGATCAGCTTTTTGAAAAAATAAACATACAAAAACTCAAAAAAATCCAGACTGACTGGAAAGAGAAAGTAGTGTCAACTGACCAGTATACCGGTCGACTGACCGTGTGGGTTACCGGTTACAAGTCTTATCCACAGCATGCGTGACATCGATTTCCATAATAAATGATCAACGAAAATAGTTTTTTTTTTATGTTCTTAAACTTATAGTAAATTGAATATTTACCGTATTTCTCATAAATAGTAAAGGAAAAAAAAATTATTTTTCCCTAGCCTTAAAGAAAAGTCGTGATTTATCCCATTTATTATAAACAATAACGTATAACTCACAATTTTTTCTTGTTTCTCTCTTTCCTTTTTCGTTTAGGTCAAAGATAGAAATGCAATAGCATTTTGATCAAATAAAAAAAGACTATCCCATGGTTGACGAGATTAAGCAGGTGTGACTTTTTTCGTCAGATTGGTTCGTATTATGTTAGAAAAAGACAGAGGAATATTTTTCTCTCCTCTATTATAAATGAATATATAAATATTGCGTCTATTTAAAAAATTCTATCTATTGTCAAAAATGTTTCTATGACTCTATTGTTACTCATTTCTGCATTAGGAGAATGAAGTAGGCACAAAGAGATAAAATTTTTTTATTTTATATAAATAAATAATATTCATAAAAAAGATTTATTATTCATTTAGAAAGTTTTGTTTCAATCTCATGTTTTCTCACAGACACAAGAGAATTTTTAGTTGCTTTCAATTATATATATATAGTAGTAGATTAGATAAGTCATTCTAGTCGAGAAAACAATGATAATCATTTAATATATTTACAGATATTTTCATTGAGCCATTTATTGTATATATATCTATGTGTCTTCTTGTATACAGTTCGATTTTTTCATCATTCTCTATATGCTTTTTTCTTTATGATGCTAATTCGAATTGTCGATCATCTTTTTGGTTTTTCTATTTTATTTCACATCAGTTTTACTGATGCATTTATGATTTGGTAGTTGTTTCTTTAGAACTTACGTTCAGAAAGCAACGTAAGCAGAGATATAGATATTTCTTTTTTGTACTTATTACTCATTTGAAAAAGAAAATTCATGAGATGATCTTTGTTAACATAATTCTCAAGGAGAAAGAATGCATCTGTGATTCGTTGTGGCTAAGAGTGGGCGTAGATAAGTGTTGGTAGAGTGAAATTCAAAACGATTCGTTCTGTTCTAGATCTCATCTCTCGTTCCATGTGTACTTTTCCTATATTTACATAAATTAATATCGAACTTAATTGTTTGTAAGTGTAATAGAAATTAAAGTTTCGAAGAACTAATGGATTTCATTCTTCAGATAAAGTATGTTACAGTTTTCTTTTACCTAATGGGTCTGAAGATAGACGATGGATATTCTTTTTTTATAGATTTGTATAACGTTAGAATGAAAAAACAAGTTTTTTTTTTGGTTATATTTAAAATGTTTTATTTCATTTTATGATATTGAAAAATGATTTTAAACTTCAAAGTGATCATATTACATGAAAAGTATGATAATAATCTTTTTCTTTATTTGTTTTTACATTCTTATTGCATATTTACATGATTTTGATTAAATATAATGCAAAACAAAAAGAGACAATATTTTTTTTAATTACTAAACAATTGTTTTAGATAAAATGAAATGTATATTTGAAACATTACCAAATGAAATTCTTATTATTATATTTTCTTATTTATCATGGTTAGAAATGTTAGATTCTTTATATGGTCATTAAATAATCGTATAAATTATCTTATTTGTTCAGTTGTTTCAATAGGTAATGATAAACAAAAAAGTGGTATTATTATTTAAGAATCAGGTTTATCTTATAATAAATGTTATTCCAAATTCATATCATTACTTACTCATTCATCATCATTAACTTTTTGTTCTTCTATTCGAAATATGTGTTTTGATGGAACAAATTCAATGGCTTGTGATATTAATTATGAATGGATTTTTCAAAATAATAATGAGAAAAAAATTCTTCACTTTTCAAATCTTAAATCACTTATTGTTACTCGATGTTGGTTATCTGAATCTTTAATCGAAAATTTATCGTTACTTATTCAAAATCAATTAGAAAATCTTACATTAGTATTCGATACAGAAATGTTCAATTATTTTCCATATGAAAAGCGATTGGTGGAAAAGAACTACAGAAGTAATTATTAATTCTTTGATTAGTTTTATCAAGAAAAATCAAATAAGTTCAATATTAAAAGGAAATATTTTTCATTACAAATCTTCATATGAAAAATTTTCTTTTATTAACTCATTCTCGGTTACATGCATATTATTTTTTTATAATTCGTAAATGATTTCATTTCTTTATTTATAGCAACTGTAGTACTTCAAAACAACTTTTATCAATGTTTCTCTTATTAATATGAGCTATGAGCATTCCTTTATTAGCACTAAAACAATCAGCCTCCTTGATTAAAGTGTGGCAGAGATATTCAATTTCTGCAATAAATGAGCTTCTGGGTCATCCTATAGTGGATCTCGAAAATCTTAAAATTGCTATTTTTTTTTCTATTTTAGAACACTAGCTTGTACTATCCGATATTTTCTTGATGAGAACTATTCAGATATGATGTATAAGGATCTGTAAAACAACTTATTTTTAGTCTCGCCCCGGGACCATCCAACAGATTCATAATTACATAACTAATTCCAAGGAGCAGAGAAAGAATTCATTAAATGATTATATGCAGAGGAAAGAGTGCACATATAATTATGTTATCTTTTAAAAATATATTGCGAACTATCATAGTATAGTAATTTTTTAGATATTTTTTCAGGTAGAATAATTATATTCGTTAGCAGAAAATTTTTATGAATACAGCATTAGGAATATGACAAAATTTCGTCTGATCAACGTTTATAAAGAACAGAAACATAAAGTAAACATTTTATAATGTATTCGGTGATTGTTAGTTTTGTCTAAAGTGACTTTAACGTGAAAAAATTATGTAAAAAATTAATAAAAAAAAGAATGATTGCAACCATTTAGAGTTCAGTTAGAAATCGAATTTAAATTAAAAGCAAACAAAAGAATTATTATTTGAGATAGGTTTTTTTTACATGAACTATGTTCAAAGTATTGATGAAAATCAATAAGTTGGGATCAATATTTGTTAGAGCAATCTATAGTTATGATATAATCGTTTTTTATATGTTAAAATATATTCTTCTTATTCGTCAATTAAGTTGAGATTTAATAAGATGATGTAAGAAATTCATTCATTTTCTGAGAATATCAATTTTAAGATTTTGTCTGTATCTTCATCTCTATTTTTATTCTCGTACCGTTATAAACCTATCTGTTAACATTGATATTAGCAATTGTTCTGATAATTTCTAATTAATGTTACCATTATCTGTGTCACGAGAGAAGGTGAGATCGATCAATACTAACACTTGTTCCTTCTAGCGAAGAACAGGAGTGAAATAGGTTTAAAAAATTTTATTCATAATGTTTGACCATTCCTGTACAAGAATTTTCATCAGCACTTGATTCAGATCGAAATCGTAAACTTGTCGCCCAAAATCAATCTTTTATGATTATGTAGAACATGTATTCAAGTCTTAATATTTATGTATAAATATATAAAAGTGTATAAAAATGAACGAGTGAAAGAGAAAGTCTATACCGATTTAGGCAAATACTTATGACTCTAATAATGTGTAGTAATAGGAAGAGTGAAATGATCAAAAGAGACATAATAGTATAATGTGGCGAACGAGAAAAGTTTGAAGGAGCAACTCTATGAGTATGAAAATGTAGATATAGAAGTATAGTAATAAGATTACTGACATAAGAACATAGGAGTCAGGCT